TGACTAACAAGCAAGAATATTGTCATTGTTTAGGGGTTTTTTAATTTATAGATGCATAAAAGTAAAGATAAGTTATTGTATAAGAAGTTAAGATTTCATGAATACTAATACTCATTCACATCATGCATCAATGAATCATCCATAGCATCATTTTATCCCTTCCACTAATGGCTATGGCCATTCTCTACTCGTGCATGTGACTCTTCCGATAGAGATTTTACTAGCTAATGCATGCTTTCGCTTCATCTCATTACCTAATTAATGCAGAACAAGGAAGTTATGATAATTCATGATTAAGTGTGGGCCTCTGCGAGCCATAATCGATGGTCTATAGAATCAATGATCTAACAATCAAACATTGAGACTAATAGAGATATAGATGGTTTATCAATCCCTCTATACTCTTATAACATCAATGGGGTACTAGAGGGTAATTTCTTATCAACCTAGATGATGCGAAGCACAATTCTTATAGTAGCATACTATAGAATCATAAGCATCAATGATAAAGAAGCATTCATACTACATAAACAACAATGATCATCACATAAGCATAAAAACCCAATCATCCATGCATACACAATGAGCATCAAAATCCACAAGCATAAACACAAGCATGACATGAAATCATTGCATCAATACATACAATGATAAACGAGTGCACATCCACATACAATCAATTTTGACATAAATACATAAAAGAGAAGTAGGATACCACCATCGATGATGACAACTTCTACTTAGTTGCATACTCTCCTACGAAATCTAAGCTCTAACTCGAGCAAAGTACACAGAAGTTTGAGTGTAGCTCTGCAGCCTTTACTTGAGTTAATGAGCTACACCCTCTATTTCCTAGTATACTCAAATCAAAATGATTCTGGCCCTTTGTCATCAAAGAGGTTTTCCATATGGAGAAGTAGAACTGTTGAGTGACGAGGGGGCACTCCTTTAAGGTCAATGTGCAGTGGGCCAAGTCTTACATTGACCAAGCTCCTTTTGGCATGGTGGAGGTGCTAAAATTACTCATCGACCATTGAATTGAACCTTCGCCCAGATCAAAGGAGTAAAAGAGAGAACGCTCTTTATGAGGCAGCCCATGTCTGGTGTCTAACTTAAAGACGTTAAACAAAAGTACTGATGAGAGATAACCCAAATTGTTTTGTTTGTCATTTGTTTGTGGAAACCAATCATCATGGAACTGGCCAAGTTTCATAGATTTCAAGAAAACCGGTAACTTTCTTTCTATTTTACTCTGTACTCCTTGTTTGGTCCAATGAGAACATTGTCCCATTTAAAATCAGGGGTGGGATTTAGGTAGATTGTTCTTCATTCTATATACCATGATTTTGTGAATGTTCATGCATTTGGGGAAAGGATCTTGTATGTGCATTTATGCATTCAATTATGAAATTTTTGAGTAATGCCACACCACAAAGCAAATTCGAAGTTTGTCATAGTTTAAATTGCTAGTATCTGTGTTAACACGTGATCTAGGGAGGCTAGTGTAGGGTCTATGAAGGATGTCCTTGTCATGAGACTTGGACCCATCTCGAGAACTTATCTCAAAAGCGTGGATGAGTTCTCAACCCCCTCACATGAGTCTTCTGTGCTTAAAGCTAAAAAGGGGTCGATATGAAGCTTTATACATTCAAAATCCTACCATGACAAGTCTATCTTAAATGACGTTGCCGCCTTAACTAAAATATGGGTAAAAATCCAAGTGCGAAGCGGCCTCTCATTGAACAGAATCGGATTTTGGAATATATACTAGTTGTATCTTAGTGGGGAAGTACTACGAGATGATGCTAGTTCCTTTGCAGTACAAGTTAAATTTCCACCCATACTGAGGACCGCCAACTTATGGATATGTTACAAGGGCACAAATAAAGCTTCTGACACCCCTTGATTTCATCGATCCTCCACATGATCGAGGAAAAGGAGCATAAATTGCTCTTGCTTGATCAGGCTGCTAAATACCAAACAAAAAAGTTTAATAAACCCACTTCCGTGTATAAAAGAGCACGATGTGTGCAAAGTAGCTAGGTAAGCACATTTTCATACCAAAACGGTTCAAAAAGACTTTTCATAGATAGGAGTATAAATACTTCCTAATCAAGCTACATTAGCTTCGCGCCTACCTTTGTATAACAAGACTCAAGTAAGAGAAAGAGAACACCATCTCGTGAGAGACGAATCATTTTGTCCTTACAAAGTACATTTTCACATCATTACAAGTGTCAAAGGTTTCTAACTGCAAGGGTTGCCCTTATAAGCTTCTTATGATCCACTACCTATGACCGAAAGTCAAGTGTCATCATAGAGGTATAGTGAGTTGTAAGATTTTGGACTTTGAGCTAGCCCACTGTTAGTTTCTCAGTCCACTCGTCAAGTCCGAAGACATAGCAACTTGTTAAATATGTAATGTTTCCCGCCTTCAAAGATCCTTATAAAACAGAGTCTTAATCGAAAACATAGTATGCATCAAATATATTGAAAAGAGGCGTAGAGGGAAGAAGATAACACAAGACTTCATATTAACCGAGTTCAACCTATTACTTAAGTCTCGACTCAAAGGTGTCCGCCCTTTGAGACCTAATTTCCTAGGGTTTTGTCTTATTGATTTATGTTGACTCCAAGTTGAGTTCATTTGGGTAGAACTCACACGCTCGTCAGTAAATAGAGAATCACTACGCTCACTTATCTGTTTTAGACCAGGGGGTCAAATTTACATGGTTTGTAACTAGGATCGTATTTCCTTCGTGCCTCGCATGTCTCCTTACTCAATCGGTAAGGGACATGCTTTTTGGGTTTGTAAAATGAATATGGAGATTGAGGTGTTGATTCGGGCCCAAATGTACACATTTTACCCTTCATTTCTTATTCGTTTAACTTAGTATTTCATCGTTCCTCGACATATTTCACGCTAAGTTGTGCTTTTTTATACATTTCAGGTCCTAGCACGTGTGGAAGGGTCGAGGACGAGTTTTGGGATATTTGGAGGTCAAAAAGCGCAAAAAACGAAGAAAATTCCAATGTCACAAGAAGTGAAGGCATCCTAGGAAACAACTGCAGTTCACGGCCAACACAAACTGTGAATACCGAGGCGTCTAGCGAGGTTCCTAAAGTTACTGATGACAAGGCAGTTCACGGTCTCTAAGACTGTGAACTGTGACCATTGGCCGTGAACCCAGAACAGTGAAGCGGTGCATTTCAGACGACGCTGAGTTCACGGACGCGTTTAGGTGTTCACGGCCGTGAACTTATTGCTTTCGGGCAAATATGGAGACAATAGCGGGGAGAGAGAAAGGGGAGCTGGTTTTTGGAGAAGAAACACTTTCTTTCTCTAGGGTTTCAACCTAAAACACCAAAGGGGAGTTCTAGTGAGAGAGAGAGTGCTAGAGTGATCTTGGAGCATCATTGGAGGCCTGGTTGCAAGATTCAAGCCTAGAAGAAGAAGAAGAAGTTCTTGAGCTCAAATTTGTAATCCCTCTCTCTCTCTCTAGAAACTCACTCTTTTTCTTGGGTGTTGTAGATCTCTAACTAATACTTTGTAATTACTTGTTTAGATTGAATGGTTGTCATTGGGTATTGTTTAATTCAATGATTGAGGTATTATTCATGTTGATTGTGCATGCTTGTGCTTAGAAACCTAAGGATTGTGCATAATTGTGCTTAGCATCCTTAGGTTTGTGCATGTTGGTGCTTTGCAATCTAATTAGCCACTTTAACCTAGCTTAGAGAGGAAAATCTCCCTTCCAAGGAAGACTCAATCGAGTTGGTTTTCCTTTAGATTTTTAAGCCACCTAACTAGGTTAATTTAGGGCAAACCTTAATGTTGAATTAAGCAAATTGGTTAAGCGCGATTAAGCCGTCCAACCCTTGAGTTGAGTGAGGGAGTAAGTCAACCACCAATTGCCAAAATCGAGAGGGCCGAGCGACACGGCCTATAATGTTTATCTCGATTTAGCAATTGAGATTGTGGTCTACGACAATATTTGCATCCCTCTGCTGTTCGCGGTTACCAGTTTGCATCTAGGTTGGTTGTGATTATGCCGCTCAAACTCCAGTTTGAGGGAGAGACCTAGGCAACCACTAGAGACTAAGTGAGCGGATTGATCCCGTGACAAATCAATCCCTAGCTAATCCATCCCATGATAAATGTATCACTAGTTGCTCCTCCTAGCGGTTCCCCTAGACTTGGTGAGTGGATCGATCCCGTGACAAATCGATCACTAGTGAATTGATTCCGTGATAGATTGATCACTAGTTGCTCACCCCCGCGATTCACAACCACCTATGCCACACGACTCCATTCAATCCAACGAGTCATGGTAGCTAGTTAGGGGGAAGCAACTCCTGGGTGAACCTCCCTTAGTTAGGATTTTCTTTCATTTACTTTTCCTTGCTTGTTTAGGCCGTAGTTCCATTAGACCTAAATCCCAAAACCGTTTTGCTAGATAACAACTTAAGCGATTGAAGTAGGGGTACATGGATCGGCCCGGGTTGACAATTTAAATACTTGCTCTATCCTACACCCTCCTAGAGTTTAAAAACTTGGACTCTAGTCGGGATTAATTTGTGGTGTAGTTTGGTGCGAGTCAGGTGCCTCCAGTGATGAAGTTGGCCTAATTCTCTAACACGAACCATAAAATTCATTTAAGCTAAACAAATAGTAATTGACGGTTCTGATTTATCAAAATATATCAAAGTTCATATAACAAGTGTGAACCAGGTGTATAGCGTACATCAAGTGTACACTAGCCTTTGCAATTAAATCGTCTAAAGAACCTCTAGGGTTCATAAACTTATACAATTAACGAACTAGCCACTCATGTGGAAAGGAGCTAGGGATAACATCAGTCGAAGACAAGATTTCCAAAAATCTCTAAAAAAACTGCGGCAAGAAAAGAAACTGGCGGTATAGGGTGCCAATTCTGCCATCGTTATGCCCTTGAGTTTTCTGATAATTTAGGGAACAAAGAGTTCTTATGTTTCCATAGTCACCTCCTGTACAACTTATGTATATGTTGGGCATGTGACTCGGACCTAGCCGCTCCAGAGGAACGCACCGACACTACCCCAAATGCCGCCAAAGCCGTCAGGACGCAACGCGACCGAAGACCCCCAGCGCGGTCCAGCGCGAAGATCCCAGCGAGGTTCAGCGCGAAGGACTCGAGCGCGACACTGTGAAGGCGGACCGGCGCTAAAACCTCGAGCGCGGCACAGGCTACGCGCACGTGGAAGGATAAAGCGTGGACCAGACCAAAGAGCCGCAGAAAGCGTCGTCTCGCTTCCCGAGGGGTAGTCACATCAGGGTCCCAAGCACAGTCATAGGTAAGCCTCTGACATGTCCTAGGTATAGGCATGGCCTAAATCCCTGACATGTCAGTGGTCATGTCATTGTACCATCATGTAGCTCAACCACTCACCCACCACCATGTAGCCTATAAATATGGCATTTACTCCGGTGGGTGGGGGGGGGGGGGGGATTTTTCAGACTCTATCTCTAAAAGATCGACTTCTCTCTCTAAAGACTAATTCTCTCATCCATGTTTCTGAAGATCTTGGTTCTACATCAATACAGTCTATTTTCCTTGCTTACTTCCCTTGACTCACTTTCTTTCCCGAACCTCACTCCTACACTCAGTTAGGTTCAAACAATTGGCGCCCACCGTGGGGCCAAGTAGAGAAGCAAAGAAAAACAACCAATGGCTGAACACAATCCCGACTTACCTGATGAAGCAACACCCATCAAAGCAATAACCAACCCAAGAACGTTCGCGGAAACCAGCAACCTCAAAGCGGTGCTTATCTAAGAAGAAGAACCCGAGCTGACCGCCAAGGAAATGAGGCAGCTAATGGCGAAGCAGAATAACGTCATAGCCGATATGCAAAAGCAAATGAGCCAAGTCATAGCGCTCATGATGAGCAAAGAAGCCGCAACAACAGTGGAGGCGACAACAAGCGCGCCACCACCCGCACCGCCACCTGGTGAAGCGATAGGAATCGCCCCGCCACCACAACTCGCACCGGCCGAATTCCCTGCGTGCGAAGCGCAACAAGCCGAGCCGCAGGGTAGGGCAGACCTTAGTTTTCTCGAGCAACACTTGTCTCCGCAATACCGACCCAACCCACCCAAGAGGGCGCTCCACCAACTGCTAAGCGCGGAAATCATGGCGGAACACCTGAGCGGAATGCCACCCGCCCTCCCAACATATAACGGGACGACTGATCCCGAAGACCATGTGAGCACCTTCTGCCTGCGGATGCAACTCCAAACCAACTCCAACGCGGCACTATGCCGAACCTTCCCATCAACATTCTCCGGAATATGCCTCGATTGGTATAACAGGCTCCCGAACGGGATCATCCGCTTATTTGAGGAGTTCATACTCCTATTCACGACGAAGTTCGCGTCCCAAAAGAGAAGGCCTCTCCACCTCAAGGCGCTGATAGACATCAGGCAAAAGGATGGGGAAAGCCTGCGATCATTTTACGCCAGATGGTCCAGGGTGGCGATGGCAGTGCGCGACCTTACCCCCGAAACCGCCGCCCATCACCTTATGGAAGCCACCACCAACATGGAACTCAAGCGGGCGCTAGCAAAAAGGCCCGTAACACTATCGACAGAGTTGGAGATGAAGATCGAGAAGGCAATTACGGTGGAAGAAACCCTCGGAGCGGGATCTGTCAGGCGCTTCGAACCAGCCAAATTGTCGCAAGAGGAACAGGGACGTCGGCAGCTCCCGCTGCCGCGAGACCAATTGGCGCAACTACACAGCGGGCCAAAGCGCCACCCCCTCCCCCACAAGAGCAAGCTCAGCGAGGACGATCGCCAGACAGGCGCGCATCCCACGCCTTCACACCGCTTAACGACTCCGTGAAGAACGTGTTCCACGTTCTCCGCGAGAAGGGCTACAAGCTCAATTGGCCCTCGCCTTTGAAGTCCTTACCCCACATGCGTGACCCAAAAAAGCATTGTGACTTCCATAGAGCAACGGGGCACTGGACAGAAGATTGTCGAGAACTACGTTACGAAATAGAAGGCCTCATACGACGAGGATTGCTGGCCGAGTTCACACACGAAAAAGAGGAACAAGTAGGGGGGCCCCAAAACCCGCCACCACCCCCACAAGCCGACTACAACAAAGCCACTGGAGCGTATGTAGTGCGATAAGAAATAGGGGTGGTGACAGTGGAAGGAGATCGTCCGGAAAAAAAACCAAGCGCGAACGCGTGATTGAATTCGCAGCGGCAGATGTACAATTAGGGGGCCAGCTAAGCTTCGACGACACCGAATTACCGCAAGGAATTCCGTCAGAAGACCCGCTCACCATCACCGCTCTAGTGGCCGCCTGCAAAATACACCGCCTCCTGATAGATGGAGGTGCCGCGGCAGACATTCTTTTTCAAAGCACTATCGACCAAATGGACATCGACACGCGCTTAATCAAGCGCGCCCAAGGGAACTTGGTCGGCTTTTCTGGAACAAGATTTCCAGTAATTGGTGTGGTAACTCTTCCCGTTGTTATCGAAGATCAAGAACCGTGCGTCTCAAAGCAAGTCGAGTTCACAATAGTCGACTGCAAATCGTCCCACAACGGCATCTTGGGCCAACCCTTCCTAGCAAAATTCATGGCCCTTCCATCCACATGCCACCAGAAGCTTAAGTTCCCCACTAAGATGGGAACTGGAGAGGCGCGCGGGACGCCATGGGGAGCCCCAAAGCTCAAAGGAGAGGCCCGACAAACCAACATTGTCGACACAAGGCCAGAGGAACCCCGCCCGGAATCGATGGATTCCGATTTTGAGGTCGCGCTCGACCCAACCGAGCCGACTAGAAAAATATGCATCTCGACTCACGTCTGCGACGACGCGATTGAGCCGCTGATAGCGCTACTGAAGGAATATAAGGAGCTATTTTCCTGGTGCAAAGAAGACATGCCGAGGGTACCAAGGCATGTAGCCCAACATTGCATCGCAGTCTCGCCTAGCGCGCCTCCGAGGCAACAAGCGCGACGTAGCTTCACTGGCGACAAACTGAAAGCCATCAAAGAGGAGGTGGCGCGACTGTTGGCGGCAGGGTTGATCCGCCCGGTCAAATACCCGAAGTGGTTGGCAAACGTGGTCCTGGTGAAAAAGTCTTCAGGGGCTTGGTGGATGTGCGTCGACTACACAACAATCAACAAAGTGTGCCCGGGAGACCCTTACCCCTTGCCGCGCATTGACCAACTGATCGACGCCATTGCCGACCACGAGACACTGTCTTTCTTAGACATGTTCTCAGGATACCACCAAATCCCAATGTCGCGCGAAGATGAGGAGAAAACGGCGTTCATGACTCCTTTCGAAAACTTCTGTTTCGTCGGAATGCCGTTCGGACTGAAGAACGCGGGTGCGACATTCGCATTGGAAAGAGAGGGGGCGGAACATCGAGGCGTATGTGGATGACCTCATCGTTAAAACTAAGGCCGGCAACTCGCATCTGGAGGATCTGCGTGAGACATTCGAGGCGCTCCGCAAAGACAGCCTCCGCTTGAACCCACTGAAGTGTGTTTTTGGAGCAGAGGCAGGGAAGTTTCTTGGGTTCATGATAACCAAGCGCGGCATCGAAGTTGACCCAAAACAAATCACCGCGGTCCAACAACTCCGGGCACCCAGGAACGCATTGGAAATTCAATCCCTGAATGGCAAGATAGCGGCATTAGGGAGGTTCATACCAAGGTCCGCCGACAAGTGTGCGCCCTTCTTCAAAACGCTCTAAAATGGCGCACGGTTCGCATGGTCTGAAGAGTGTGAAGCGGCATTCCAAGAGCTAAAGGCGTATCTTGTATCCCCTCTTGTATTGACCGCTCCCAAGCTTAATGAAAAACTTTTCCTATATCTTGCTGTGTCAACAAGGGCTGTGAGCGCGGTATTGATATCCAGAAGGGATGGCAAAACTGAGCAACCTGTATATTATACTTCGCGTACCCTTGTCAGCGCGGAAACAAGATATTCCCCAATAGAGAAAGCCGCCCTAGCGTTGGTGAGCGCGTCACAGAAATTGCGCCCATACTTTCAAGCGCACCAAATTACCGTCCTGATTAACCTCCCGTTGAAAAAGATCCTAACTTCAATGGAAGTGTCCGGGCGCATGGTCAAATGGGCCGTCGAACTTTCAGAGTACGATATTCAATATGCGCCAAGACCAGCAATAAAGGCCCAAATCCTAGCGGATTTCATCGCCGAGGGGGTCACTCTCGAAACAACGCAGAGGGTGTATGGGAGGTTTATGTTGATGGAGCGGCGAGCAAACACGGCGCCGCTGCGGGAGTGGTTGTGCGCACACCCACCGACGTCGTCCACGAAATAGCAATCGGATTCAGAGCGTTGAAGACAAATAATGCGGCTGAATACGAGGCCATCCTAGCGGGAAAGACTGCCGCCCATGACTTGGGCGCTAGAACGATACGGGTACTCTTCGACTCATCTCTGGCAGTCAATCAACTGAACGGGACATTTGATGCAAAAGAAGACACACTGGTGCATTACATGGATCGCGTTAAGCTGCGGGCAGCCACCTTCGAGGCGGTAACGTACATGCAAATACCGAGAGAAGAAAACGTGCACGCCGACGCGTTATCCAAGCTAGCGACTGCTACCGACTTCGAGTCCACGCGCCTCGTGTCTGTGCAAAAAGTGGAGGAGGAATGTCGCCCAGAGGTAGCAATCAACACAACTCAGCTCACGTCTGACGAGGACTGGAGACATCCAATCGTGAAATACCTACAAGACGGCGCAGCGCCAGAAGACGCTAAGGAGGCATGGACCCTAAGGCAAAAAGCGGCTCGCTGCACGCTCATCGAAGGAGAGCTGTATCGACGGTCATACGCGGGCGTCTATCTTAAATGCATCGGGCAAGAAGAGGCGCACGACTTGGTGCGCGACCTGCACGAAGGGTTGTGTGCAATGCACGCTGGGCCACGCAGCATGGAACGTACCATCTTGCTGCATGGATACTACTGGCCGCGAATAAAGAAGGACACGAGGAGATACGCAGACCAGTGCCACAAATGCCAAATTAACGCGCGCTAGCATCACATACCATCCACCGAGCTTCAAGGCAACCTGAGCCCATGGCCCTTCGCGGAATGGGGAGTGGATCTCTTGGGTCCCTTCCCAACGGCAAAAGGAAAGCGCAAATACATTATTGTGGCAGTAGACTACTTCACCAAATGGATCGAAACTGAAGCACTAGCCTCGATAACGGCGCAACAGGTTACGCGCTTCCTGAAGAACAACATCCTGTCACGCTTTGGAGTTCCGAACGCGCTCATCTTCGATCATGGGAAGCAGTTTGACTGCGCAGAAGTGATAGATTTCTGCGGCCAAGTAGGAACCATCGCAAGGTTCGCATCGGTAGCTTATCCCCAAACCAACGACCAAGCGGAATCCGCCAACAAAGCAATCCTGCACGGCTTGCACACCTGCTTGAACGATGCCAAAGGTAATTGGGCTGACGAGCTCAACATAGTGCTATGAGCGCACCGCACCACGTACAAAGTGGCAACGGGCGAAACCCCTTTCGCCCTTACATACGGCACCGACGCGGTAATCCCCATAGAGACAACAGCCCCGACCTATCGAATCACGAGGTACAACGAAGAAACCAACGATGAAGCGTGTTTGCTGGACCTGGAGTTGTCACAGGAAAGGCGCGAGTTGGCAGCAATCAAGCTGGCCGCAATAAAAGAGCAGGTAGCCAAGTACCACAACGCGAAGCTGGTTCCACACAAGTTGATCCTCGGAGACCAAGTACTACGGCGGAACTTCCGTCCCGACCCCAAGCACGGAAAGCTGGCCTCAGTGTGGGAGGGTCCATACCTAATCCGCGAAGTGGTCTTTGCCAACACCTTCAAACTCAGCGAGTTGGGGGGCAACAAGATACAAAGAACGTGGAACGCGCAAAATCTCAGAAAATATCACCAGGCAACTTAATATGTATTTTACTCGCTATGGCGCTTTGTCGCAAAGGAATGAAAAGTACTCAGTTCGCAAGAACAAGAATTAGCAATAGTCATGCACTATTCGCGCCCACACAGTTCGCAAGAACAAAAATTAGCAATAGTCATGCACTATTTGCGCCCACTCAGTTTGCAAGAACAAAAATTAGCAATAGTCCCACACTATTCGCGCCCACACAGTTCGCAAGAACAAAAATTAGCAATAGTCATGCACTATTTGCGCCCACTCAGTTCGCAAGAACAAAAATTAGCAATAGTCCCGCACTATTCGCGCCCACTCGGTTCGAAAGAACAAATAATAGCAATAGTCATGAACTATTTGCACCTACTCGATTCGAAGGAACAAACGAAGACTCTTGGGATTCGATTAAGCGAGAGCATCAACATTGTTCGCAACTACACTTGATAAAAATAAAAAAAGAGGGAAAAGAAAATAAGAAAGACAACAAAGCAACAAACTCAAAAAGGAAACACGTCAGCGCGATAACACTTAAGCACCATCAGTGTCAGGCTGAACATCCTCTCTACTCTGCTTGCGGCGCAACAAGGGCTGAACATCCTCTTCCTCGTCATCATCAGCTTTCTCGCCATCCCTACTCGCGCCCTCAGCCTTCTCCCCGTCCGGGCGCTCCTCCTCTTCCGGGCGCTCCTCCTCTTCCCCATCCTCATCCTCATCCTCATCCCCTGACTCGGAGTCAGACTCCAAGAGCCGCTTCTCGCCAATCCACATCTTGACGTGTTGGACCATTTCGCGAGTATCCCAGCAAACCCCGGGGTTCTCTGGCCGAACCTTCTTCCCGACCGCGATCACGGCCTTGGACATGGCGTCCGCCAAAATCATCCCGAAAGAGGGAGAAGACTTGAACTGACGAACGACCGCAACCTCGGCCGCGCGAACAGCTTCCGCTTTTGCGACACTGTGAAGGCGGACCAGGTCGTCCTTCTCCTTTTGAAGCTCTTCGCGAGCTCGATTCAGCTTCTCAGCGTAAGAGGCCTCCAGCTGTTCACGGATGGCGGAGCGCTCCTCGACCCGCACCTGCTCTTTGGCCGCCTCCACGTCGGCGACCAACTTGCTCTACAGGACGCCGAGTTCCTCCATTGCCTCGTTGGCTTTATTCGTTGCCACGTCGGCCCGATTGTTCGCCCCAACAACCTTCCCCTCCAGCTGGACGATCTTCGCCTCGTCGGCCTTTATCCTTGCGTGCTGCGATGCGCGCTCCTGTTGAGCCCGGAAGGTCGCCAACAAACCCTACAACCACAATGCTAAAAGACTTAGCAAAACATTGCATTCAATAATAATAATAAAAAAAAGATAAGATAACTTCGAATTCCGCAAGAACTCAACCCGATCTTACCGCGAAGTGGACCTGAGCCAGGTCATGAAGGGGATCGGACTTCTCCAATCGCGGCGGAATACTTAGGATAGGCCCGAGCGCCCGAAGTGCGGTATTCGCGGACGCCAGATTGCAAGTCGCCCCGGTGTGAATCCGCACATCGCGGAAGTAGTTGACAGCAGCGGTGCCGGGAGCGGCAGTGACGGGAGTCCCCCCAAAGCCAGCCATCTCGGGCAGTTTCTGCTGGATGGTGGCCCCCAACGAGCTGCCAGCCACCTCTCTCTCAGGCCGAGAAGGCCTATTCACCGACGCCTCTGGCTCCGAAAGCGCCAGAGATAGCTGCCTCGCCGTAGATGACGGTTGTTCCGCTTGTGGAGTCTGCGCCGTCCGCGCAGTTGGTTCTGCCAAACGAGCCGCCTTACGGGGCTTTTCAACCGCCAGTGGCTGCTCAATTTCCTTCCGCTTCGCAGTCCTCGGCACCGCGCTCACCTTCTTCTTCTTCTTGTCAGCGTGCGGCGCCTTCACGACGTCGTCAACCGACATCATGCTAACCAGGCTGGAGAAGTCAACACCTGCGCCAATAAGTCGTAAGAGAGCGGTTAATATGATAGAATGCAAAAGAATAGAAATACAGCTAACCATCGTCAAACAGCTCCTCCAAACAAGCCTCGCGGACTCCCCCCGCGTATAAATTGATCCTATGAGGCATGCACGCCTCATACTCATCGTTGAGCCCGTCATAGTTGCCGGCATCCGACTCATATCCGAGCGTGCTGCCTTTCTTCCAGACAGTAGGCTCCTCCACAAACTCAGTCGCCCACTCTCCGGGAGTGGGCTTGACGTAGAAAAAGCGCTCGAACCAAGTTTTCTTTAACTTGGGGGATCCATACACGAAGCCGTCGGGCCTCTTGTCGCGACGCTTGATGGAAAGGCAGTCGCTTCTTGTTGTTGGCTCCTTGATTTTATAGATCTTCCGGAACAGGCCATAAGTCGGCTCGATGTTAAGCCTTTTGCACGCGAGGCGGAGACAGCTCGCGTGCATGATCACAGACGGGGAGAGCCGCCCAACGGAGCAGTTAAGGCGCCTATACAAAGCGCATAATAGCGGGTCGATGGGGAACTTGAACCCCATCACCCAATACTCTGTATAAACGCCAAACCACCCCGGGGGGCAATTGCCCACCATGCTTCGCGCAGAAGGAGCGGCGTACTCCCAATGGGGTGGGGGGGGGGGGGGGGGCAAGCCCAGTCCGCGGACTATCTCCGCCACGTTAGAAACATCGTATATAGAGGCGTGTTCGGGCCCACGCTTGAGATTGTCGTGCGGCGCCGGTTGATCGCCCCACATCTCTGCCCATTCTATAACAGTATACGCGGCGCCAACACCGCGTAACCCCAGTCGGGCCATGGCCTCTGATACGCGCACAACATGATGCGGCTCTGATTGTGCGCTAGAGTCTTTGCGCACTTCATAGTTGGCAACCCCTGGCCTACCATCACGATCACGCCGGATTATCAGCACCCCACGAGCTCCTTGTGTCGCCTGCCCGCTCCCGGAGGCAACCATACCCACGTCGGAAGAAACGCCGGATTAAAGGCCAGAGCCTATATTTATAGGCTTTTCTATAAGGTTTTTTGGGAGATAAAGTAGGACTAGAATTCTCTAGCATAATCACTTTGGCTATCTTCTAACTTAGCATCCAAGTAAAGCATTTCAACACATTTCTAGACTCATATGGAACTCTCTATAAATGGTGCCAACATATACAAAACACATATCGTTAATCACACAGTTTGTAGTTGCTTTGACCTCACAACAACTTTTTCCGCATTCTTAACGATTTGCTTCTTTCTCCTTCTGCTTTTTATGTAAGCCCAATTCCCGTAGGTCACTAGGGAATAATTGTGGCCCAAGTGTAATTATCACTTAATGATTTAATATATAAATGAGATCCTATATTGATTAGGTTAATGAAAGGTAAATTCCTAATATGCCCTGATGGTGGGTCTATATAAAGAAGCCTTAGGATTGGTCCTCTCTCAACCCATTACGTAGAATTTCTTAGCCATCACATAAATCTCTAAACCTAAAACCTAAAGGGGTCAAGAGGGAGAAACTCAATTCCGGTGATTACTACTCCAGCGCCGCCGCCGCTCTCGTCATGGATCGAGGTAGGTTTTCCCGATCTATTATCGATTCTTGAAATCATCTAATTCTAAGATCCATGCTATTATGATTTATGTTTACATGTGGTATCAGAGCCTTAGGTTTACATGAATAGATAATTTTCGCTTACGTATTTTATTTCCGCTGCATCTGTGCGCCAAGCTCTACGTATGAGAGCCATTATGCTTCGGCTGTAGAGTTTCCAATTGTCAATTAGCCATTATGCTTCGGCTGTAGGGTTTAGGTTTCCAATCTTCCTTTTCCTTTTATTTGTACCTTTTGTCCAAGCACCTGTTTGTCAATTTCAATTCATTTGCTTTGTCAATTTTATTAAGCTACTGTTTGTACCTTTTGTATCGAGGGGATGAAGAATTTGGATTTTATTGATTAAGCTACTGTTGCTTATGTGGGTGCAATTATATATGCTTGATCAAATTCTATGAGTTCTTTCTTGTTGCTATCTATTGGCTTCGGCTATCATATGTTTGAGTTTCCTTGATAATGAATTTGATCAGTAGGCTTAATGGTTGATCAGTTAAGCAATTATTATAATAGTAACCTATTAATGAGACAAGTTTTGCATATGTGTTTTGAGGATTATGATTAACAATTGCTTTGAATTGAGTTAAATTTTATTTTTGATATCTATGTTATGATTAATTTGTTAGTCACCAAAGTGGCCAAATTAGAAGGTTTATAGATATCAAGTTGAATCAAGTTCAACTACTAATGTTTATGTGATGCTTTAAAGTTGAAGTTCATGATTATAAAATATTTTCGAATCGCCCAAAGGTTGATTGCTCGTTTTATAATTCATGAACATTATTGTGGTAAATTGATGTGCTTGGTTAGATATTTTTAGTATATCCAAAGATTGCAAGTATATCTAATTTGAGTATGTCTATCACCAATTATATATTGTTTTTTTGCCCAAAGGTAGCACCGATATATGTTTTATGTTTATGCTTACGAATCTGTATTATAGTTTATGCTTATTACCCAAAGCATTAATGTGTGAGTACATGTTATATACGTTTGCAGCATCTGTTCCTGTTTCTCTTCATTCGCAAGCCACGTCTGTTGTTAAGTTTAATGGCCTCAACTTCTCTGAATGGGCTGAACAGGTTCAGTTTCACCTCGGTGTTCTGGATCTTGATTTGGCACTCTTAAGTGAGAAACCTGCTGCTCTTACTGATGCTAGCAGTGCTGAGGAAAAGTCTTTCCATAAAGCTTGGGAAAGATCTAACAGACTAAGCCTAATGTTTATGCGAATGACTGTAGCAAACAACATTAAGTCAACTTTCAATGATACTGAAAGTGCTAGGGAATTTATGAATTCCGTGAAAGAAAGCTCTCAATCTGAGTCTGCTGATAAGTCGCTTGCTGGGACACTGATGGGTACGCTAACCACCATGAAGTTTGATGGTTCTCGTACCATGCATGAGCATATCGTCGAAATGACAAACATTGCAGCAAGACTAAAGACCGTGGGAATGGAAGTGAATGAAAATTTCCTAGTAACGTTCATCCTTAATTCCTTACCTCCAGAGTATGGCACATTCCATGTGCATTACAATACTCTAAAGGATAAATGGAATGTGCATGAGTTACAAAGCATGCTCATTCAAGAGGAAGCAAGTCTTAAGAAACCAGGAAATCATTCTGCCAATCTTGTTGGTCATAAAGGAGCTGGAAAGAAACCATGGAATAAGAATGAGAAGGGCAAGGAAGGACTATCAAAGCTTAATGAGTCATCTGCCAAAATCCACAAGAAGGAACCAAGTAAGGATATATGTCGCTTCTGTAAGAAAGCCGGACATTATCAGAAAGATTGCTTGAAAAGAGAGGCATGGTTCGAAAGAAAGGATAAGCCTAGTGCTTCAGTATGTTTCGAATCAAATTTAACTGAGGTTCCTTATAATACTTGGTGGGTTGACACTGGTTGTACCATTCATGTTTCCAAAACGATGGAGGGATTCCTTACGACCCAAACCATAAGGCAAAATGAGAAGTTCATCTATATGGGAAACCGAGCCAAAGTTCCAGTTGAAGCTATTGGGACTTATCGTTTGGTTTTAGATACTGGTTGTAACATCCCAAACTTTGGGTAAATTGAAAACCCTATCGGTTTGATGGAGAAAAGAGGAAGTTCAATCATTATGGAAAAGATTCTGAGTTTCAACTCGAACAAAGAGTCACGAATTTTGTCAATTGGATACAAGATAATATCGGTAAATAAATGCAACATGAATGAATAATGATAGATGACGAAAATACGAATGGGTAGGCGAAAACGGTGATTAATTCCGATGTCAAATAAAGGAGTTACGACCAAAAAGA